GCTTCCTCCTTGTCTCCAGGAGCAATGCCCTGCCGTACATGCCCAGGCAGCCTCCTCCTTAGCAGTTGTGACTGTGACACTGTTAGGACCAATTAGCATATTACCTCTTTATATATTACTAGAGGCCCAGTACACGAAATTTGTGCACTGGGGGCAGGGTCATTCAGCCTGGCCTGCTCCCTTTTGCAGTCTGGGACCCCTTGGGGGATGTCTGCCTGCCAGCTTAGGCCTAACCCAACATTCAGACATCCCTCTCGCAGTCTGGGACCCCTTGTTTCTTACCACCTGCCTGCTCGCTGCTCCTTACCACTTGGCTCCTGCTCCTTAGCGCTGCTGCGCAAATGGGAGAGGTTCCCTCCACCACCTCTGTGCTTGCCAGCCATGAGCCCAGCTTTTGGCTAAGGGGCACTTCCCTTGTGGGAGTGCACTGACCACTAGGGGGCAGCTTCTGCATTGAGCGTTTGCTCTTTGGTGGTCAGTGCACATCATAGCAACTAGTTGTTCTGGTCATTCTGCCTGCAATGGTTGCTTAGGCTTTTATTATATAGACTAGAGGCCTGGTGCATGAAATTTGTGCACTCAGGTGGGGGGTCCTTCAACCCGGCCTGCGCCCTCTCGCAGTCCGGAAGCTCTCAGGGGATGTCCAACTGATGGCTTAGGCCTAAGCCATCAGTCAGACATCCTTAGTGCTGCAGCAGAGACAGGAGAGGCTTTTGCCACTGCTGCTGCTCTTACTAGCTGTGATCCTGGCATCTGGCTGAGCAGCACTCCCCCTGAGGGAGAGCACTGACCACCAGCAGGCAGCTCTTGCATTGAGCACCTGACTCCTGGTGGTCAGTGCATGTCATAGTGACCAGTCGTCCCACTGTTGGGCTGAAACTGGCTCCCCGACATCCTCTGAGGGGTCCTAGATTGTGATAGGGTGCAGGCCAGGCTGAGGGACCCCACTGGTGCATAATCAGGGCCAGGGAGGGACATGGAAGGTTGGCCAGCTGGGGAGAGACCGAGCGAGGGCTCCAGGGTGTGTCTGGCTTATCTCGCTCAGTCCAGATCAGTGGGACCCCAGCAGCAAGCTAAACTACTAGTTGGAGCATCTGCCCCCTGGTGGTCAGTGCACATCATAACAAGCAGTTGAGCAGCCTTAGCATATCATGAGCATATTACTCTTTGATTGGTTGAATGGCCAACTGGATGACTGGACACTTAGCATATTAGGCTTTTATTATATAGGATTATAGATTATATTTCCTAGAGGCATTGGTGTTTTCTAATAGGCAAGAGTTTAAATGCCAGTCAGGACATATTTGAATCCAGCATCCAACAGTTACTAGCTATATATTTACTTAAGTCTTGCGAATGGGAAGTGCAACCCATGTAATGAGAACAGCTGAGTAGTGGAATGAATTTTCGGCAGTAGTACTATCTACATCACATAACATTAAAGGGGATAAAATTCTTAGCCTGAAATAATGATTCAAATTCAGATTTTTCTTCCTGGCACATCATTGGTTTGAAGTTCAAATCTATCAAAAGAAGAGGCATCAAGGGAATGTTTACAAGTGCAATATTCCATGAGTTGTTTAATTCAACTCTTTGAGATTTTCTATATGAGAGCCACCATCTTACAGTTCTTGGAGCCTTTATTTTCCCACTCATATGCTGTGCCTTATATCAGTGTCTATATCTTGTCTATTTCTATGCAATTGTACAAGAGACTATAAAGCATAAAATATTTATACAATATTGTACTAACCAGAATTAAATATGCTAACAAATTAACAAGTCTGTTGGAACAAAAAGATGAAGCAGATTTTTTTGCTAGCCATCTGTATTTTAGCTTCTATTTTAGTACATTACATGGACCAACAGTTTCAGTTCCTGTCTAGACAGGAAATAACCGACCAGAGATATTAGGCTGGTGCAGATTGATTCAACATGCTGACACCAAGATCTTTGCCATAAGCAGGAAGAACACTGCCGGCATGCTCCCATTTCCCTTCCCTCTCCTTATAAAAGCCACCAGCTTGACTAGAGATGTGAAGCTCATTTTTCAGATAGGAATCGGCCATATTCTCAGGAAGCCAGCACCTGAACAACCCCTCTCCTTTTACCAACACCTGTTTCATGAATATTGGCTTTCAATACAGCAGGCAGCCAAACCTGCCTTTGGTAACACTAGGAGTCTACAGATGATAGAGTCTGTGCCTGAACCACCTCAGAGTCTGTCACATTTGAACACATTTTCTGTATATGATAAGATAGCAAACATTGTATGAATTGCCTATAGCCTCAAAATCAGATTCACAAAAGAGTTCATTCTACCACTGTGCCACCACTTACTAAGAACAATGCCCAATATAGACAAAAGACTTTTGGTTTCATTTCTCATTCTTATCTCAGTTCTGGGAAATGTTTGTTTTTGTCAGGAGTGTTTGCTAAGAATAAATGTCCATTTCCTAGGCGATTTGGCTCAGTAGATAGGGCCTCGGCCTGAGGAATGAAGGGTCCCAGGTTTGAATCTGGTCACGGGCACATGCCCTGGGTGTGGGCTTGATCCCCAGTAAGGGGCATGAAGGCGGCAGCTGATCAATGATTCTCTCTCATTATTGACGTTTCTATCTCTCTCTTCCTCTCTGAAATGAATAAAATCATATTTTAACAAAAGAATAAATGTCCTTTTCTTTTTAATATTTATTTATAATTTTATAGAAGAAGAAGAAAGGAAGGGACGGAGAGAGATTTGATTTGTCCTTCCACTTATTTATGAATTCATTGGCGGATTCTTGAATCCTCAACCTTGGTATATTAGGATGATGATCTAATCAACTGAGTTAGCTAGCCAGGGCCCTCATGAATTGTCACTGTAAGCTGTTATCCTTAGGCTTTCCTACCAGTTTCCTAATTTATCTTTCATTTGGAGAATTCTAGCCTTTTTCTGAATAAACTGAGAAAAAATGAA